CCTCCAACTCCTGGGCTCAAGCAAGTCTCCTGCCTCAGCCTCCCAAGTAGCTGGGACGACAAGTGCCCACCACAACGCCCAGCTATTTTTTGGTTGCAGCCATCATTGTTGTTTGGTGGGCCCAGGCTGGATTTGAACCCGGCACCTTAGGTGTATGTGGCTGGTGCCTTAGCCACTTGGGCCACAGGCGCCGAGCTGAGACCCCATTTCTACAAAAAGAAATTTTTTTTAATTAGCCAGACATGGTGGTGAACACCTGAAATTCCAGCTGCTTGGAAAGCTGAGGCAGGAGGATCACTTGAGCCCAGAAGTTGAAGGCTGCAGTGAGCTATGATAATGCCTTTGCTCTCTAGCCCAGGCAACAGAGTAAGACTCAAAAAAAATAAATAAATAAAATAAAATTCTTTATGAAACTTTAGGATATTTCCTTACCTTTGGGTTTTTTTTCTTTCCTTAGAGCTATCAGCAGTCTTACTTAGAAAACTGACCATTTTGCTTGGCGCCTGTGGCTCAAGTGGCTAAGGTGCCAGCCACACACACCTAGGGTGGCAGGTTCGAATCCAGCCCAGGCCCGCCAAAAACAACAATGATAGCTACAACCAAAAAATAGCTGGGCATTGTGGTAGGCGCTTGTGGTCTCAGCTACTTGGGAGGCTGAGGCAGGAGACTCACTTGAGTTGGAGGTTGCTGTGAGCTGTGATGCCACTGTACTCTACCCACGGGGATAGCTTGAGGCTCTGTCTCAAAAAAATAAAGAAAAAGAAAAGAAAATTGACCATTTTTTCGAGTCCTGTTTTTCCTGCTTCCATGAGAAATGTTCCTGATTTCTTCAGTGTCCCTTAGTCTCCATCCCCCTTACATAAAACTCAAGAGTTGTGATGGTGCCAGTTCTGCTTCCTAACTGGTGACCATGGTCCCCTCATATCCTCTCTGTGCTTGCAAGTTTTCATGGCAAAATGTATGAAAATACACTTTTGGCTCAGCTCCTGTACCACAGTGATTACTGAGCCAGCCACATACACCAAAGTTGGTGGGTTCGAACCCAGCTCAGGCCTGCTAAACAACAATGACAACTGCAACAAAAAATAGCTGGATGTTGTGACAGGCACCTGTAGTCCCTGCTACTTGGGAGGCTGAGGCAAGAGAATCATTTGAGTGCGAGAATTTGAGGTTGCTGTGAGCTGTGATGCCACGGCACTCTACCAAAGGTGATATTGTGAGACACTATCTCAAAAAAAAAAAAAAAGAAAGAAAGAAGAGAAAAGAAAATACACTTTCCTGTATTCTTCATACAATTTTCAGGAGAATTAAACACAAGATAAAGAGCTTTGTTGGACTATAAAGCCTAAAGGCCTATAGAATTTTTATCTCTATTTTTTTTGTTTATTTGGGGGGGGTGGTTGAGACAGAGTCTCACTTTGTCAACCTGGGTAGAGTACTGTGGTGTCATAGCTCACAGCCACCTCAAACTCCTGGGCTTAAGTAATCTTCTTGCCTCAGCCTCCCAAGTAGCTGAGACTACAGGCGCCCATCACAATACTCAGAAAATAGAAAAAATAGTTTTTCTATTTTTAGTAGAGACAGGGCCTTGTTCTTCCTCAGGCTGGTCTCAAACTCCTGAGCCCAAGCCATCCATCTGCCTTAGCCTCTGGGGCTCACAGGCCTGAAGCACAGACCAAATGCTACAAGGATGTCAATGCACTTTGCATATCAGCTAGGCTATACTCATTGCAGTCTGGGTTACTATTCCTGTGGAGACCCTAAGGACTTCCAAAGATAAGAGCAGAATTTTCTTTGTTCTCTGCTACCTCCTCCCTCCATCCTGATTAAAAATATAATCACTTCCACCTAAGAAAAAAAGGTGAAGGGGTTATGGTTGGAGGAATCAGAACAGGGAATGGGAGAAGTCGGGAATTAGCCAGTTAACTGGCTCACTAGCCTGGGATCCAGGAAGGATAGGGAGGGCAACTTGGCTCCCAGAGTTTTTGAAGGCTGGGAACTGAGCGATGGGAACTGAGCGATGGGGGGGGGGGGGGGGGGCAGGTAAGGGAATTCCCACCCCTCTCTTTGCTGAAAGTCATTTGGCTTTACCATCCTGTAGTAAACTGGATGTTGTAGTGAGGTGGGCTGCCTAGAGTAGGATCAGTGAGTGTCAGACCCAGTCAGAAGTTAGAAGGAAAGGATGCCTGCAAGGGTGATAGCAGAGTCATGTAAAATCTCTTTCTCTCTTTCTCTCTCTCTCTGTCTCTCTCTCACACACACACACACACACACACACACATACATACACACACAAGATATGTAATCTCTTGGGCTTCATCCTAGACCTCCTGGATCAGAATCTGTATTTTAGTAATACATCCTGGTGATTCACAGACATGTGAAAGTTTGAGAAGCATTCCTCCGGCATGGTTTAAATTCTTCGAATAAAGAGATTTCTCTGTTTAAAGTGGAGCAATTAGTGCCAGATTAATTTTTAATTTTTGTAGATAAACAAAGAGAGTTTAAAAGTTTTTCAGCGGGAGAAAAACATTTTAAGGAAACAATCAGATTAACATGGTCACACATGTTTACAAGATGTAGAAATTTCCTGTTAGTTTTAAAAAGGGACAACTGGGGAAAAAAGATAACGATGGAGACTTGCACAAATTGTATCCATGGGCTTCAAACAAGAGAGGAAGGAAAGGAGGATATAATGTGTCCCTTCCTGTCTCCCTTCCCCTCCTTCCTTTTCTCCTAACCCCCTACACCCCATCTCTCTCTCTTTCTCTCTCTCTCTCTCTCTCTCTCTCTCACACACACAAAAACTCCTGGTAATTTACATACATGACCTCCTTGTACTCTTCTTTTTTGTTGTTTTGTCTTTTTTTTTTTGAGACAGAGTCTTATGTCACCCTCAGTAGAGTGCTTTGGTGCCACAGCTCACAGCCTCAAATTCTTGGGCTTAAGGAATTCTCTTGTCTCAACCTCCCAAGTAGCTGAGACTACAGGCTCCTGCCACAATGCTCAGTTATTTTTTTGTTGCAGTTGTCATTGTTTGTTTCTTAGCTGGCCTGGCCGGGTTTGAACCCACCAGCTTGGGTGTACGTGGCTGGCACCCTACCCACTGAGCTATGGGCACCGCCATCCTTGTACTCTTCTGTCAGTCTTCTTGAGAAAAAGACCAAGCACATAGAAATAAATAAAGTGGGGAATAAATGAATATAAATAAACCAAGCAAGTCTCAAATAGAGGGTAACTGCCCCCCAGGGACTTTGGCGGCTCTGAACTGTAGATATCACTGATCAGAGACAGAGATGCCCACGGCCACGAGAATTTTCAGGGTACACCCAAGGACAAGTGGCTGTGGTTTCCAGGATCTGTTGCATACTGGGTATAGTCATTACAACAAGGGCTTTAGAGGCTGACAGACGTGTGTTGAATCCTGTCTCTACCACGCAGTAGCTCTTGAGCACATACTTGACCTTTCTGAGTCTCAATTCCCCCAAATGTAAAATGGGGTAAATAATGCAAGACAATAGTATTTATAGAGTTATGAGAAGAAAGAGAGGTAATACAGGTAAACCACTGACCCTACACCAGTGTTTGTTAAAAGTGAGCTCCCATGGGCGGCGCCTGTGGCTCAAAGGAGTGGGGCACCAGCCCCATATGCTGGAGGTGGCGGGTTCAAACCCAGACCCGGCCAAAAATTGTCCTCCCCTCAAAAAAAAAAAAAATGAGCTCCCTTCCTGTCCAGGGGAATTCTTCTTGCAGAACTATGTGGATTCGTTTCTAGTGGCCTCCTGGGAGGGACCATGCCTCCCTCTTCACTCAGGGGCCTGCACTTGAAATACTCTCTTCTCTCCTGATTTGGGGGAGAAACCTCCCCATCTTCAGCAACAAATCTCAGGAAATGAAGAAACCGGGGAGCAAAGGAACAACTTTCTATAGGCCTGGGTATCTGGGCCTCTTCTTTCCCTTCTAATCAGAGGAAAGATGACTGGCAGAGGGGAAGGCTGTGTCAGGTCCTGTCGTCATAGCTGGGGCCATCTCCTCTAACCTCTGTCTGTGGATTTTAATGTTTCAGAATTTTATTACATCTCTCATTTCTCTTTCTCCCCAGAACTATCATGTAGGACCAGCAGAACCAGTATAAAGTACCGTAACGCTGAAAGTGACATTGGAAAGAATTGCACCCAAATCTTAGCTTTGCCGCTTGCCTTTACGCATCTTACCTTGCACATCTTCAGGCAAATTACTTGCCTTTCTGCACCTCCTTTTCACTCCTATTTATAAATAGGAGTCTTTATAGTGAAAATTAAATGGCACGTGCAAAGTAATACAGTGACTGGCATGTGACATGACAGGGACTCAGTGAATTCTAACTATTATATTAGGACAAACACAATTGACCCCATTTTATTTTATTTATTTTTTGAGACAGTCTCACTATGTCACCCTCAGTAGAGTGCTGGGGCATCACAGCTCACAGCAACCTTAAATTCTTGGGCTTAGGCTCAGTGCCTGTGGCTCAAGTGCCAAGGCGCTAGCCACATACACCTGAGCTGGCGGGTTCGAATCCAGCCTGGGCCTGCCAAACAACAATGATGGCTGCAACCAAAAAAGCCAGGTGTTGTGGCAGGCGCCTATGGTCCCAGCTACTTGGGAGGCTGAGGTAGGAGACTCACTTGAGCCCAGGAGTTGGAGGTTGCTGTGAGCTGTGATGCCACAGCACTCTACCCAGGGGGAATAGCTTGAGGCTCTGTCTCAAAAAAGATAAATAAATAAATAAAATTCTTGGGCTTAAGTGATTCTCTTGCCTCAGCCTCCCAAGTAGCTGGGACTACAGGTGCCCACCACAATGCCTGGCTATTTTTTGGTTCTAGTTCTCATTGTTGTTTGGCAGGCCCGGGCTGGATTTGAACCTGCCAGCTCTGGTAGGTGGCTGGCACCCTAGCTGTTGAGCTGCAGGTGCCAAGTCAACTCCATTTTAAAGATGACCAGTTTGGCCCAGCACAGTGGCTCATGCCTGTAATCCCAGAACTTTGGGAGGCTGAAGTGGATGGATCACCTGAGCTACAAGTTTAAGACCAGCCTGAGCCAGAGCAAGACCCCCATCTCTAAAAAATAGTGGGGCATTGTGGTGGGTGCCTGTAGTCCCAGCTTCTTGAGAGTTTGAGGCAAGAGACTCACTTGAGCCCAAGAGTTAGAGGTTGCTGTGAGCTGTGAGACCATAGCACTCTACTGAAGGTGACAAAATGAGATTCTGTCTCAAAAAAAAAAAAAAAAGAAACAAGAAAAGAAAATAAAGATGAGCAGTTTGAGGCTTAGAAAGATCAAGACTTATTTATGGGATGGCGCCTATAGCTCAAAGGAGTAGGGCGCCAGCTCTATATACTGGAGGTGATGGGTTCAAGCCCAGCCCTGGCCAAAAGATGCCAAAAAAAAAAAAAAAGAAAGAAAGAAAAGAAAAGAAAGACTTATGTCGTGTGATTTCCAGCCAGAGACTTTTTTCACTTTGTGAAAACCAGAGGGACTGTTGATTAGCGCTTCTCAGTCCAGATAGATTTACCTGCCAAAGTTCCAGGCCAAGAACACTGATGTTATAATAGCGACAGATGGTGGGGTCAGGCTTATATTCAGGGTTGTCTATTTCTGGATGAATCCACTCCCCCTGGTAATTGGGATTGTCAATGATCCGAGGTTTCCACTGTCCCTAAGCAAAGACCCAAAGAGTGAACATACTATCAGTGTTCTTTCATTCTTCTGATCTCATGCAATCAGACAGGACAATCAATTTACAAAGGCACTTACATGTTAGAGATAAACATTCAGAGCAGGTTTCTTGGGGCTTCCTTTCCCTTCCTTCGAGTTAATTAATACACAAGGCTCTTCCAAGTTCTCCTTTCTACTCAGAGGGAGCCAAATAAGGGACAGGGACCTATTCTGAGCCTGGACCCATCTCTGCACGAGCTCATTCATGAAGCTACGAAAATGTAACTTCTCAAAGAACGTCATCTGAGCATCCCCCACTGGGGGCTGTGATCTTGCTAGGGTGTAGCATAGGAAATTGGCCAAATAACATCATGCTTGCTTCAGTCAGTTTTCTTTCTGAATCATTAGACAGCTGATTCCTTTAGTTCTTGCTTCTGACATGACGTCTAGAGTTAGCCCTTAAGAAGAAGTGGCTCAGGGCCAGGTGCAGTGGCTCAGGCCTATAACCTAGCTCTCTGGGAGGTCGAGGCAGGTGGATTTGCCTGAGCTCATGAGTTCAAGATCAGCAAGAGTGAGACCCTGTCTCTAAAAAACAACTGGGTGTTGTGGTGGGCACCTGTAATCCCAGCTACTTGGGAGACTGAGGCAAGAGAATCACTTACACCCAAGGGTTTGAGGTTGCTGTGAGCTATGATGCCACAACACTCTACCCAGGGCGACAGTGAAACTCTGTCTCAAAAAAAAAAAAAAAAAAAAAAGTAGAAGTGGCTCCATCCTCTGATGCCTTTGGCACTTTCCCTTTCTAGCCTACTTCTAAGACTCCAGTTCCTGACCCCAGACCCATGTTCCTGTGACTGGCTTCTCTCCACTGACCTAGACAAACTCTCTGCCCAGGGCTGCCTGGACCTCTACTTCCAGCACTGGTCTTTACCCTGAGAGCAGGACTAGGATGAGGCCACAGTCTTATTTGGGGGTGGAGGAGAGGAAGGATCTTCACAGGATCTCAGAGTTTCTGTTTTGTAAATTAGGCTTTACATCTCTTCTTTCTTATTCTCACACCCATTGTGAAGAGAGACCCCTACTCACCTTATACTTTGGGTTTGGTATGAGAGGCCTTTCCCACTCCCCATCCATAGCCTCATCCCAGTCAGCCGGCTTCTTGGCCTCTGGGTCTGGGATGTACTCAAAGTCCTCCCAGTCCTAGAATGAAATGTTCTTTCATGAGGATAGATGTGTGGACTGCGATGAAACTGGGGTCTAGAGAACTGTCAGGCTAAAGCTGGCTCCTTCCCCCTGCTACCCTCCTGCCCTCACCTATGTGAAGGCTCAGCTCAGAACCCTGCAAACACACACAGCCCAAAAGAAAAAAAAATTCTTTAAAGCAACTACAACCCCTCCTCTGGGTTCATTATCACTCTGAACTTGAGTACTTTAAGCTCAAATAAGATGGAAATTTCCCATCTCTGCCTTCCCCTTCCTGCAATCTTGTGCCACTACTGTCATAAGACTTAGGTCTTCAACCCTAGGTCCCTCTTGAAGGCTTCTTGATAAACTGCTTTGTACCCCAGGATGCTCCCAGACATGCACCCTTGTACTTTATTTTTTTTTTATTCAAATGAATATGAGGGTACAATTTTTAGGTTTTGTTCTCTCTTCCAGGGTAAAGTTCCATTTGTAGAAGAGCCTGCACCCAGGGGGCGTGTTAGACACCCTCACAATGTGCACATTAGGTGAGATCCTGCCTCATGCCCTCCCTCCCCCGGCCATATGTCCTCTCCCTCCCACCCCCCTCCCCCGCTTCCCTCTATCCCAGAACTGGACTATATTAGTGTTTTATTGTTTATGAACACATGATTGTTTATATATTGATTTCATATTAGTATGGATCCAGCAAAGGACTCCAGTGGCCTAGACGTGTCTACAGAGATCCAGCAAAGGACTTCTTCTATTTATTCTTCTATTCTTGTGATACTTTACTAAGAATACTTGTACTCTACATCCCTCCTACTTCCCCAGGCAGAGCTCTGTAAGTAGTCACAAACAACCTATCCCAACCTGTGGAGCCTCCAAGGCTTTGCTCTGTCAACCCGGAAGTTCACCTTGGTTCTGACCATTTGACTAGGCTGACTTAAGGTTTCCAGGCCTAGCCCAGCACATTCACAGTCATTCAACACAGTTGGGATTGGGAAAGTGTCCAAGTTCCTCATCTGTCCCAGATGTTTAATGTTCCTAAGCAGACTTGGCGCCCATGGCTCAAGTGGCTAAGGCGCCAGCCACATACACCTAAGGTGGCAGGTTCGAATCCAGCCTGGGCCCACCAAACAACAACGGCTGCAACCAAAAAATAGCCGGGCATTGTGGCGGGTGCCTGTGGTCCCAGCTACTTGGGAGGCTGAGGCAGGAGACTCGCTTGAGCCCAGGAGTTGGAGGTTGCTGGGAGCTGTGATGCCACAGCACTCTACCCAGGGGGACAGCTTGAGGCTCTGTCTCAAAAAAAAAAAAAAAATGTTCCTAAGCAGACAGTCAGATCCTTTCCTGGGGACTGTAGTCCTGATAGAGCCCTGCCCGTCCATTCCATTTCCATCCTACCCTGGTCCACTTAGTAGGAAGCACAGAGGCCTGAAGCCTCCCCGACCCCCTCCCTATCCCCCTGGCCTTGAGCCAACCCTGACTATATCAGGTGGATTGTCCTCACTAGGAGGGTGGGTCTACGGTTAGTTCTGCTGGACCTGGCAGGAACTTAGACACTTTGCCTGATCATCTGCTGTATTCCCTGACTACCCCTGGGATGAGAGTCCTTTGCTGGATCTCTGTATACATGTCTAGGCCACTGCCCACTTCTCGCAGGCCTCTCTTTAGGGAGGACTGGACTCCAGCTGCTGGGTCCCATGTTGCCCACTTCCTGGCCTAAAGCGTCTCCTCTTCATGAAGCTGATCCTGCTCTTACCTGCAGAGTAGTGAGCAGGTAAGACTCTCCATGACCTGAATCCAACAGACTTTTCCAACCTCATCTCCTACCAGCCCCTGCCTTGAATCTTATGCTTCCCAAATCCTGAAGCTCTGCTTTCAGTTCTTTACACAACTATGTTATCTTCCACCTCACCTTGTGCCTTTGCTCCTGCTGTTTCCCAAGTCTGGAATATCTTCCTTCCAACCCTATTTCCACTTTGTTTGCTCTAATGAATCTATTATTTGAAATTCAGTATATTATTAGCATATAAAGGCCATATATTAAGGACTTCCTTTATACCAGCCACCATATTCTGTATTTTTTTAAGAGGCAGAGCTTTACTCTGTCATACAGGCTGGAGTCCAGTGGTGTGGTCATGGCTCACTAAAACCTCCAATTCCTTGGTTCAAGCGATCCTCCTGTCTCAGCCTCCTGAGTAGCTGGGATTACAGACATACAACACCAAGCCTGGCTAATTTTTATTTTATTTATTTGTTTACTTTTTTTTTTTTTTTTGCGGTTTTTGGCTGGGGCTGGGTTTGAACCCGCCACCTCCAGCATATGGGGACGGTGTCCTACTCCTTTGAGCCACATTGTAGAGACAGGGTCTTGCTATGTGTCCCAGGCTGGTCTCAAATTCTTGGCCTCCAGCAATCCTCCTGCCTTGGCCTTCCAAAGCACTGGGATTACAGCTGTGGGCTGCCCCCCTGTGATCCTATATTCTCTCATTCAATTTTCACAACAGGGCGAGGCACAGTGGCTCATGCCTGTAATCCTAAGTGTTCTGGGAGGCTGAGGTGGGTGTGTCACCTGAGCTCAGGAGTTTGAGACCAGCCTGAGCTACAGGAAGACCCTGTTTCTAAAAACAGCTGGGCATTGTGACAGGTGCCTGTAGTCTCAGCTATTTGGGAGGCTGAGGATCACTCAAGCCCAGCTCTCAGAGCCTTTGGCTTCCCTGGCTCTCAGCACTGATCACATAGCATGATCTTTGTTTTCTTGTCTGCCTGTTACACTACACTCGGAGTCTATAGAGGCCAAAGATTGTCTTATTCATCACTATACCCACTACAGATTTCTAGAATTATAATGAACCAATGAATATACTGTATATTCCCCATATTGTTAACTTTGGATACAGAGAGGTATAAGTTCAAATCTAACACGTGTGTGCTTGGGCAAATTATTTCATTTTCTAAGCATCAGTTTCCTTATTCACAAACGATGGATCATAAGACATTGCTCACAGAGGCTGTCAGAAGGATCGGCAGATCCTCAACAAAGGTAAGTAGCTGGCTTGGCGTCTATAGCTCAACCGGCTAAGGCGCCAGCCACATACACCTAAGGTGGCGGGTTTGAATCCTCAGCCCGGACCCACCAAACAACAATGATGGCTGCAACCAAAAAATAGCTGGGCGTTGTGGCGGGCGCCTGTGGTCCCAGCTACTTGGGAGGCGGAGGCAGGAGACTCGCTTGAGCCCAGGAGTTGGAGGTTACTGTGAGCTGTAATGCCACGGCACTCTACCCAGGGGGACAGCTTGAGGCTCTGTCAAAAAAAAAAAAAAAAAAAAAAAAAAGGTAAGTAGCTGCCTCCTTCCCTCCACACCTCTTTGGATGCCAGTATTTTGCTGGATGCCTCCTTGAGGGATTGATGGCCCCAGCCTCTGCTCTATCATCCCAGCTGCTCCTATCTCCACAGCTGAGATTCTGCCTGCTTCCCAGCCAAACTCTGACCTCAGGTTTCTTATCTTCAGGATCCTCTATTTGCAGACGTTCGTCCCATTTCCTTGGTTTCCAGGCATAGGGGTCTTTTATTTTCCTAGGAGGCAAGAAGTCCCAGTCTTCCTCCAGACCACCAGCTGCCACTTTCTTGTTGTCAATTTTGACCTCATAGGTAGCATTGGGGCGAATGATCAGAGTGTACAGGTGAGAGTCTTTATTGATCTATAAAGGGAACGGGGAGGGGGGGGCATTGTAGTTTCATATTGAACATCTGCAGATCTCGAGCTATTAAATGTACCAGACCCTTAGGTCCCTGAATGCCACACACACATACACAAACACACTCTACCACATCCCTCAGCCTACTTCTCTGGGTCTTATTCTCCTACAGACACACACGTCTGGTCCCCCCTTGCTTTCATCCCTCTCTCTGCCACAGTTCTGATCGTTCTCTAATCTTGCCAGGTTTGCTGTCTCACTGGACCGTGAGATTCTCAATGGCAGGGCTCATCTATAATTTATCTGTTGTGCTTCCAGATCCCAGCATGAGGCCTGCCCCAGAAGAGGACCTCAGGGAGCCTCTGTACAGTCCGTGGGCCTTGGGCCTGAACACAAGTTCTCCAGCAATGTCCCTGTTCCCCTGTATTATAATTGTGTCATACCTCTTGCAGTGCTATTCTTTCTCAAGTTACCTTGACTTTTTTCCTGTAATCACCTCTTCTAACCATTTAGTTCCTTGGCAGGGCAAAGTTGCTCACACCTATAATCCTACACTTGGGGAGACCGAGGCCAGTGGATCCCTTAAGCTCAGGAGTTCAAGAGAAGCCTGAGCAAGAATGAGATCCCCCCCCCGCCCCCCCCGTTGTCGTCATCATTGTCTCTACCCAAAATAGAAAAACTAGCTATGCATTGTGGCAGGCACCTGTAGTCCCTGCTACTCAATGTGGCTAAGCTGATACCACAGCATTCTAGCCTGGGCAAGAGTATAAAACTCTGTTTCCAAAAAAAAAATAATAATAATTAAGTTTCTCCTAAAAATTGTCACACCCCCTCACAAGACAAAATCATGCTCACCTTTCAAAATTCAGCCCAGGGGAAGGCTTTTTTTTTGAGACAGTCTCAAGCTATCACCCTGGGTAGAGTGCTGTGACGTCACAGCTCACAGCAACTTTAAACTCTTGGGCTTAAGCTGTTTTCTTGCCTCAGCCTCCCAAGTAGCTAGGACTACAGGGGCCCACCACAACACCTGGCTATTTTGTTGTTGTTGTTGCAGTTGTCATTGTTGTTTTAGCTGGCCCGGGCCGGGTTCGAACCTGCCAGCCTTGGTGTATGTGGCTGGTGCCCTACCAACTGAGCTACAGGCACTGCCGGGAAGGCTTCTCTTGGAAGCATTTCCTAAACCTCCAGGTTGGGTAGAAGTTTTCCCCTGAACCCCATTATACTACGTATCATTCTCCTTTTTTTTTCTTTTTTTTTTTTTTTTGAGACCGAGTCTCACTCTGTGCCCTGGATAGAATGCCATGGTGTCATAGCTCTCAATAATCTCAGACTCTTGCCTTAGCCTCATGAGTAGCTGGAACTACAGGCTCCTGCCACAACACCCAGCTATTTTTAGAGATGGAGTCTTACTCTTGCTCACACTGGTCTTGAACTCGTGAGGTCAAGCGATCTACCTGCCTCAGCCTCCCAGAGTGTTGGGATTATAGGTGTGAGCACCACGTCTGGCCTCATATCATTCTCCCTTGCTTGAGTCTGGCCTTCACTTACTATGAGGTCAGAGGCTCTGTCTGGGGCCATGACAGGGATCATGTCAACACCCACACTATCCTCATCCCAAGCACACAATCAGCCTATTTAGTAATGGATGAAATCTACCTACTATCCTCTAGCCAACCTAGGTCTCTAACTCAATGTTACTGAGAAAAAGCAACCCCCAATTTCAAAGCTCAGCACTCCCTACCTCCCCCGTCCTCTGCAACATCTAGCAGTGGGGAACAGGACCATGCCAAGCATTCATTGTTCCAAGAGGACCTTATATGACCGCTAGGCTTTTGGATCAGTTGCTCCATTGTAAAGTCCTGCAATTTACAATACTTTTCTAGGTCTATTTTCTAATCTGTAAATTGGGAATGATAGCATTTGATTTATAAGGGTTTTGTAGGCTACAGACAGCCCACACACGTACCTTGCACTTGATGGTCTTGTTATTCTCATAGTACTTCCCTTGGTAATGAAGGATGACCTGCACTTTGTTGTTCCCAAAGCCACAGATGTCGGGACCTGGAAATTAAACCCCAAAGCATGATTTTCGCGGCACTTTAAGGCAGTTTGCCTTGTCTGAGGCCAAGATCCAAGACAGATTCAGCCTGCATGTTAATCACAGCCACAGCAGGAAAAAAGATGGCACAGTCAAATTTGGGATTATTTGAGAAAGATTTAATAAAAGGACTATTTACAAAGGTGGGGACAAGACTTATCTTGAGAAAAGACAAGATATAGTGCTATCTTCAGGGCCAGCAGCAGAGCCCCCTCCTCCCCCCAGAATCCTTAAATTTTTGCTAGAAGAGGCAAGAAGGAGTGGTTTCCAGAGCTTGGAGAAAGAGTCCTGTGGAGAGGACAGCCAAGAGAGAAGCTGACTTTCAGTTGAGGGACACAATTCTTTTCTCTCCCTCTGATCTCCTGCTGGGGCTGCCATTGACCAGACCCAACCAGAAGCCCTTCCTGTGTGTGCCAACATTTTATACCATGTCACTTAATTCTCACAACAAGTAGGTGTCACTGTCCCCACTTTTAGCTGGGAAAATCGTGGTTCAGAAAAGTTAAGCAGCTTGCCCAAGGTCAAACAGCTAATAGTAGCCCTGCAGGATTCCTACCCAAGCCTATTTACAGATAAAGCCTAAGGCCTTTTATGCTTCATGAAAACTCTAGAGGGAACTCTAGAGTTGATCAGTGTCTTTGAGTCAGAAAGCTTTACTTACCAGAGATCCAGGAATAGACCTTGACCTAATTTTCCACCTTACCTCCCACGGTGTTGCTCTCTGATTAAGCAACACACACTCAAACACACACACACACACAGGTGTGTATGTGCACCTGCAGAATGTCCCAACCACCCTAGTCTCACCATCTGAATTTCACAACTCTGAACCTTTGCACACGGTTTCCTTTGCCTTCACACCCCCTCCATCTCCTTCTCTACTATACAAATCTAGCTCATTCTTCAAACAGTTAATACCTCCTCCGAAAAGCTCCCAGTCGGATTGTATCATGCCGTCTTCTGAGATCTCATAGAGAGACAAAAAGTAACACAGAGAAGCGGAGGCAGCTGGGGTTAAAGGAGCAGGTGGCCCTGAGCAGTCCACAGAACAGAGGGCGAGAGCACAGGTGCCTGAACCACATCCTGGCATTCTCTGAGAGTCATAAATAACCACAGAGGCTTGTGACCAGTCCTTTGTAGAAGTCTCATGACATACAGTAGATTAAGTCTCAATATCTAGAACTGGTGCCAGAAGTTAGGACACAAAAGAACAATAGGAACATAGGTTCCAGTTCCTTATACACAAAGAAGATAGATAAGCTTAAACAACATATATAATGCTCTTAACACTTAGTTTTCTTTGGCAACCCACTTGGACCCCTCTGTGAACCCTGCACCAGAGGCTTTACTGCTCTCCCCTTTTCTTCTCTCTTTCAATAAAGGAATTTCCCCACCTGTCCTTAATTTTTTTTTGCAATTTTTGGCCGGGCTAGGTTTGAACCCACCACCTCTGGTATATGGGGCCAGCGCCCTACTCCTTTGAGCTACAGGCACCACCCTCCACCTGTTCTTAAATTTTCTCTTAATAAATTTTTACTTTCTTTGCCTTCTCCCTCAGGTCCAACAATTCCAGAAACAGTAGCACCTCGCCAATACCATTTTTTTTTTTTTTTTTATTGAGACAGAGCCTCAAGCTGTCCCCCTGGGCAGAGTGCCATGGCATCACAGCTCACAGCAACCTCCAACTCCTGGGCTCAAGCGAGTCTCCTGCCTCCGCCTCCCAAGCAGCTGGGACCACAGGCGCCCGCCACAACGCCCGGCCACTTTTTGGTTGCAGCCATCATCGTTGTTTGGCGGGTCCGGGCTGGGGATTCGAACCCGACAGCTCAGGTGTACGTGGCTGGCGCCCTAGCCGGTTGAGCCACAGGCGCCGAGCCGCCAATACCATTTTAAAAGTATGCCTTTCATGTTGTGAACATACAGTAGTTTAAAAAAAAAGAAAGGCTTCATCCTGTGGCTAAAGTAGCTAAGGCACCAGCCACATACACCCGAGCTGGCTGGTTCGAATCCAGCCTGGGCCCGCCAAACAACAATGATGGCTGCAACCAAAACATAGCCAGGTGTTGTGGTGGGTGCCATGCCACGGCACACTCTACCCAGGGCGATAGCTTGAGGCTCTGTCTCAAAAAAAAAAAGTGTGTTTTGGGTACAGTGGCTCACCCCTGTAATCCCAGCACTCTGGGAGGCTGAGGTGGGGTGATCGCTTGAGCTCAGGAGTTCGACACCAGCCTGAGCAATAGTGAGACCCTGCCTTCCCCATCTCTACTTAAAAATAAATAATGAATAAATCTAGCTGAGCCTAGGTGCCTGTAGTCCCAGCTACTTAGGAGGCTGAGGCAAGAGGATCGCTGGAACCCAAGAGTTTCAGGTTGCTGTGAGCTATGATGACCACAGAGTGCTCTAACCAGAGTGACAGAGTAAAAGACTCTGTCTTCAAAAAAAAAGAGGGAGGCTCAGCTCCTGTTGCTCAGTGGTTAGGGCACTGGCCACATACACCAAGGCTGGCAGGTTCAAACCTGGCCTGGGCCTGCTAAACAACAATGACAACTGCAACAAAAAAATAGCCAGGCCTGGGTGGTGCCTGTGGTTCAGTGGGTAGGGCACTGGCCCCATATACCAAGAGAGGCCAGTTCAAACCCAGCCCTGGCCAAACTACAACAAAAAACTAGCCGGTGGTTGTAGCAGGCGCCTGTAGTCCTAGCTACTTGGGAGGCTGAGGCAAGAGAATTGCCTAAGCCCAAAGAGTTGGAGGTTGCTGTGAGCTGTGACGCCACAGCACTCTACAGAGGGTTAATAAGTGAAACTCTGTCTTAAAAAAAATAAATAAATAAAATTAAAAAAAAATAGCCAGACGTTATGGCGGGTGCCTGTAGTCTCAGCTACTTGGGAGGCTGAGGCAAGAGAATCGCTTAAGCCCATGAGTTTGAGTTTGTTGTGAGCTGTGATGTAACAGCAATGAGGGTGACATAGTGAAAGCCTGTCTAAAAAATAAAAAAAGAGAGAGAGAGAAAAGTGTGTCTTTCATTCTTACTTAAAATATGTATATATATACATATATGCCTGAAGGTAGAAGCATGGAGTAGAAGAAGCACCAGCTTTAGAGCCAGACAGACTAGGTTCAAATCCTGGCTTTCCACTTTCTCACCTTGGGCAAATGTCCTGCCTCCATCTCCTCATCTGCAAAATGGAGATGTAAATGACCCAATCTTGCTGGGTTGTTTGAACATGCAATAAATAATATTCACGTGAAAGAAAAAAATCATTTAAAAGATGATTTACAATTTCCCTACCCCTACTACTACCACATTATAAACCAGTGGTTCTCAGCCTTCCTAATGCCTCCTAACGCCGTGACCCTTTGTACAGTTCCTCATGTTATGGTGACCCCCAACCATAAAATTATTTTCATTGCTACTTCATAACTGTCATTTTTCTGCTGTTATGAACTGTAATGTAAATATCTGACATACAGGATGTATTTTCATTGTTACAAAGGGGTCGCCACCCACGGGTTGAGAACCGCTGTTATAAACTCTCTGTGAGAAGGGTAGGTTCTGAAGAAAATTAAAAGATGGTTAAAATAAAACACATTTTAGACACTCCGAGTGCTATATTGCTCTACATATGAAAGAGATTGAAAGACAAGGGAAAGAAGAGGGTGGGGGAGGGTGCAGACCAAAAAATGGCAAAGACGGTAAAGGGGAAGATTTTGGCGAGGATTCGAAGAGAGAGTTCTGATGCTCCCAGAGAGAGAAAGACTTTAAGGAAATGTTGCTGTGTGATGTATAGGGCAATCTTCCCTCTGACTTGGTACAAACACATTCAGCAAACTCTACATTATTCATCCATGCTTTGGGAGCTGGAGTATTTGTTGTTGTTTAATGGTCCTATTTATTTATTTTTTTATTTCAGATTAATAGAAGGGTACAAATGATTACAGTGTTTGCATGTGTTAGGTAAGGTCCCGGTTGTAGTTGTGTGCCACCCCCAGGAAGTGTGCCATGTACCCTTACATTGTGCCCATTAGTTGGGAGCACACCCATCCCCCACCTCCCCTTGCCTTCTTGCCCCTCCCCCTCTTCCCTTCTCCCTTCAACTTGCATTAAACTGAATTTTTCTCTTGTGTGGGAGAATATTAGTTTGTCTACTGCCTTCCTATTAGTATTGACTACATTGGATATTGTCTGTTGGTTTTATAATATCCACAACATTGAAAATGAATTAAAAGTTGGAGCTAAGTAAGAGCTGGGCTGCCCCAAGAGACCTAGTTACATACTTAAGTTACAGATGCAACGCCCTGGATAGATTAAGATGCTTAATAAAGGTCATTTCCCTGACCTACTGGGCCCTTCTCTCACTGAGGCAGTGTACAGCGCCTTCTTTTTTTTTTTTTTGAGACAGAGTCTCACTATGTTGCCCTCCGTAGAGTGCTGTGGCATCACAGCTCACAGCAACCTCAAACTCTTAGGCTTGGCTTGGCGCCTGTGGCTCAAGCAACTAAGGCACCAGCCACATACACCTGAGCTGGCAGGTGCAGGTTCAAATCCAGCGTAGGCTCAACAAACAACAATGATGGCTACAACCAAAAAACAGCCAGGCATTGTGGTGGGCTCCGGTAGTCCCAGCTACTTGGGAGGCAGAAGTAGGAGACTCATTTGAGCCCAGGAGTTGGAGGTTGCTGTGAGCTGTGATGTCGTGACACTTTACCCAGGGTGATAGCTTGAGGCTCTGTCTCAAAAAAAAAAAAAAAAAAAAAACCTCTTAGGCTTAAGTGATTCTCTTGCCTCAGCCTCCCAGGTAGCTGGGACTACAGGTGGCCCACCACAACACCCGGCTATTTTTTTTTTTGCAGTTGTCATTGTCATTTAGCTGGCCTGGGCCAGGTTGGAACCAAGCTCCCTTGGTGCGTGTGGCTGGCACTGTAACCACTGTGCTACGGGCGCCGAGCCGAATTAAAATAACTTTCAAATACAGAATTGGGGGTTACGTTTTTCTTCTCATTTTCTTTCTTTCTTTTTTTGAGACAGTGTCTCAAGCTGTCACCCTGGGTAGAGTGCTATGGTGTCATAGCTCACAGCAACCTCCAACCGACGGGCTTAAGCGATTCTCTTGCCTCAGCCTCCCAAGAAGATGGGACTACAGACGCCTGCCACAAAGCTCGGCTATGCTTTTGTTGTCATTGTTGTTTAGCAGGCCTGGGCCGGTTTGCACCCACCAGCCCGGCTCCCTAACCTCTGAGCACAGGCACCAAGCCTACAGTGCCTTTTTGTAGTGAGACTGTCTATGCAGTTTCTGACCTCCTCCTCCTTTTCTGAGAACTTGGCCTGCCTGTACTGTAGACTTGTTAATACTGTCCCATGTGCCTCCCCACTGCTTTGGTCTGTTTTTATTAACATTTACGTTTTTTTCAGGTCTTCAAAGAGTACTACTGCATAGGGAGGGTGGAGCTATCATAGTGGAAACTTTTGTTCCAAGTCAATCCGAACATCTTCAACAACTATGGTGGCTCTCTCTTATCAGGACCTTGGGGGGATGACAGCCGCTGCTGTCAGAGAGCTTACCAAACATGATATAATACTCGGATTCCGAATGCATATCCTCCTGGTTCAGGGTGGCAGGAAAGAGTTTCACGTGCCCGCCACCACAATCAATGCCTTGCTCGTGTTTTACCGAAAACTGAACCACCAAGGTCTCATTCTCATTGCTGAATGGCTTAAACCTTGTTGAGAGGGCGTAAAACTTGGCATCTTTGCCGGTCTGGAGACCTGGGAGCAGAAAGCAGAGTCTTTAGGCTTAAATACCCACAAAGCAATTTGAGAGACCCAGTTCCAGATGCTGTTCTGAAAGCTAGGAAAATTTTATAGAGAAATCCTGCAACATGGGTGTTATCCTCACTTCACAAATAAGAGGCAGAGTCATGGGGAGATGAAGTGACCTAGGGCCAAAGGGCTAGGAAGGAACCAAGTGGGAAGTTTAAGCCAAGTTTGTCTGATTCTTTTCTCATGCTATCTCTGATTTTTATTTATAGTTTCTTTCTTTCTTTTTTTTTTTTTTT